ACCTTAGTATCGATATTTTTTGTTTGAGTATCGATACTTTCGATACTCGCGTCAGTATCGATATATCGATACTTTTGATCGATACGCCCATCCCTACTGTCCTGTCAGTCTAATCAAAGGATTATAGCGCAAGCGCTCTAAAATCTTTGCTGTTTTTGCTGTTAAGTAAACTGTCATATTAACAGTAATCCTAAAAAATAGTGCTCCGGGTAACCCGCTACAGACACCAAAAGTTTCTCCTCCATCATAGCAGTCTCCGGACTTTCTAAGCAACGGTAAACTTTCGTCATCACAACGGAAGGCCCGCCTCTCCGTTCATTTGATTGGACAATGGAAAAATGTGAATGACGTCGGGCGTTTTTTCTGCTCAAAGTTGATTTTTTTCAACTTTAGGTGGCTGAAAACACGAGGCACACCGCACTGCCTTTTTTTTGGTGACTTGAAAAACCGTAGTACCTTCTTTTATTTTATTTTTTTTTTTTAAAGTTGTTAGGCAACCACCAAATCAGCTGTCCTGTCAGTCTAATCAAAGGATTATAGCGCAAGCGCTCTAAAATCTTTGGTTTTTGCTGTCAAGTAAACTCTTAAAACTGACTAAAAAGTCATTAGCAAAAACCTTAAAAAAAAACAAAAAAACAACAGCTTCGGGTTACCCGCGACAGACACCAAAAGTTTCTCCTCCGTCATTGCAGTCTCCGGACCAGAGTATTTGAGCGGAACGGCGTGATTTTGCCTGGAGCTAGGAGCGGATTTTTTGAAAGTCGGAGCGTTGAGGTTTTAGTTACAGCATATTCTTTCTGTTTCTGAAGTAATACCCTCAGCTTCGCCATAATAGAGAGACGTTGCACAGACAAGTAAGCTAAGTGAGTTAAGCAGTCATTTAATATGGACTTGGGCTAATTGTAGTGTTAAATAAACCGTTAAAACTATTCTTCTAGTATTATGCATTTATTTTTCGTTTAATGTAATTTCTGAACAGAACTTTGATTTTTCGGTTAAAAAGGATCTGCTGAGGCTTTAACTGTAACTACTACACTTACCACTTGTACCAAGCCTTGCAGACTCTCATACACACAGCCAAATCCGTCCGACCCAAGTAACAGAACACAGACATCCAAATGTCCTTTTCACAGCCACGCTCGTTTCCTACGTCACGGAATGAGGGATGAGAGAGGAGGGAAGGAGGAGAAGAAGTGGTGATGGCTGGAGGAGGAGGTGGAGAAACAGAGGATCGAGAAGACATAGAGGACTGTGACGCCGTGTCTCTCTCTCGACTGTCCTGGTTGGAGCTCCGCCTCGTGAGGCAGCTGGATGTGTGCACGCTTTTGGACTGAGAGAGGCCATTTCCGGCTGGCGTCAAGGTGCTGTTCCTGAGTCGGGTCCTGGGTAGCGTTTTGCGCTGGATAAAACCAGGACCGCCAGGTGTTCGGGGAGACATAGCCGCCTCCAGTTTGGGTACAATGGAGCCGGGGTCCCGTTTGGCCTTTGGAGGACGCTGGAGGGTCACAGTCAGGTAGGAATCACTCAGCAGGTCATCGTTCAAGTCTGAGACTAGTAAGACGGGTGGGTCAGGATCAGAGTCTGATTGGTTCTCTCCATCCTCATCATCTTCATCTTCCTCTCCTCCATCATCCAAGTCTTCCATCTCATCGTCCTCTCCTTCAAAGTCCTGTTCCTCACCGTCTTCCTCATCATCATCATCCTCGTCGTCGTCGTCATCATCATAGTCACCACCTCTCTGCCTCCGTCTCCTTGAACGATGCTCCTTATCTGACCGGCCAAGATGTCTCTCTTCATCACTGTCATCCTCATCATCATCATCCTCCTCATCATCATCATCATCATCGTCGTCGTCTTCGTCATCATCAGTTTCATAGCGCCGTCGTCTCATGTGGGATCCTCCTCTTAACCTCACCCGACCCCCTCTCTCCCCTCTTGCCCCAAGTCCCCGCCTCATTTTCAGCAAACCTGTTGCCAAGCTGCCTCCCCCTCGACTCCCTCGATGCGAGGAGCCTCTCCAAACACCTCGTCTACCAGCTCCATAACCTCGGCGGGACGAAGAGACCCCGCCTCGGACAGATGACATCTTGCCACTGTCATCATCACTGCCCGAATCATCATCGTGTTCCATCCCATGACGCCGATAGATCTTAGCCACGCGAGGATCAAGAGATGAAGACTTGCGTTTCTGTAAGAGAGAAAAGAGAAAAAATAAGAAAAAAGGCACACTAAACCCACCTCTTCACAATCTTTAAAGGGGACATTGGATGCCCATTTTCCACAAGTTGGTACGATTCTTTAGGGTCTTCATGAAATGTCTGTAACACACTTTGCTTAAAATTCATCAATGGTCATGTAAAACTACACCCTTTTTACCTTGTTAAAAACAGCAACCCATTTTGGTGCATGTCTCTTTAAATGATAATGAGCTACTGCTCACCCCACCCCTCTCTTCTATGGGCTGGGTGTATTGGGATGTCTACACAAGACATGTGAAGTGCCGTATTTGACTCCGTATATGGCTCAGAGTTGGTCTTATTTAAATAGCTAGCTATCTATGTAGAAACTGGCTGCAGATTGAAAAACTCAGACAGCCCATAACAAACTGGCTGCATGTTTTCTTTTCAGCTTTCTCAGCTGGCAGACATGCCAGAAACCGAACTAAATGCAAAAAAAGCTAACAAAAGAGAAAATTTCATCTGATGTCCCCTTTAAACAAATCAATGAACAAAAGAAATATTTCCAATGGAAAGAAATATGAGAGCTGAGTGAAGCACTGATTATATGCGTATGCAGAATTTTCAAATCCGATTTGAGCTTTGGGTGTGTTGAAATATCTGATCTTTTGCAGCTAGACCATCTGCCCACCACTGCCCCACAGGATGTATTATATTATATTCTACATTAATTTTCTATTTTACTTGTTTATTCACACGTCTTGATCGTTTATCTAGTATATTCTATTTGTTATTATATTATTTTAATGAGCACAAGCTATTAATTACCAATACTTTCGCACTAAAACAATCTTTAAACATTCTATACAATGGGTAGTTATAACAAAACACAACTCAGCTATTTCAAACATAATTCATAATTATTACATATTTATTTGTGTTAATTAGCCCTAGAAAAATCTATTAAGTTTTTCCCTTCAGAAGTGTTGGTGGTTATTTAATTTGTGTGGATATAGTCAAACATTCAGTATTCATTCATTTTACCATGGTGAATCAACAGACCTTATCTCTGACCAATATGACAAGTTCTGTGTGTCTGCCACTAGGGGGGTTAAATGCAACAAATTTTGAATGTCAAAGACAGTGAAAAGGCAGACCCATTTCCAACAACATTTTAGGATAAAGAATCAAAAACAACATTCAGAAACAGGGCCTAAAACTTTGATAAACCAGCCAATACTTTTTTTTTTATATATCTAAATTTATCACAGCAAAAGTCTGCTGTGGAAATTTATCCACTTGCTGCCACAAACTAGTCAGAACAAAATGATTATAAATGTTGCTTTATCAGAAAATCTTTCAAGCACTGATAAACAATCTTCCAAAAAAAAAAAAAGATACGTACATGTGTTTTACCACCTTCCAATTTTAGCTGCAAAACAGAATAACATGCTGTGGTTAATATGAACTTCAATAAACAGTGATGAACACATCAGGATCACTGAATGGAAACACACAAGCTGTGAACACAAAGCCGATTCTGAAACCCTCAGTCAGTCAAAGCAGTGGGGCACAATGATGATGAACAGGGCAGGGTGGGCCAAAGAGAGAGAGCGAGAAAAGACACACATGGAAAAAGATGGGGTGGGAGGATTTACTGCAAGAGGTAGAGAGCATAGAAGGGAAAACATAATAAAGGCTAAGCGGAGCGGCTGTGCATGCGGCAGCAGTGGTGTGAGGAAGGCGGAGCCTCTCACCCGCTTCCTGAGCCGCTGCTCAGGGGCTGAGGCTCGGTTCTGGAGCGACCCATATGAGAGAGAAGTGGGGGGCTGCCCGACCCTGTGCCATGCCCCGCCCTCGCCCCCTCGCCCCCCTGACCCATCCTGTGCTGTGATGTCATCACCGCTACCTGACGACTGGCACACAGGAAAACAAGCGTTACTGTTACACACACAGATTGGAGTGTGTACATCACAGTAAGCTCTCGGCATGCTTCTTTCTACATGGTGTGAATGAGTGTGTATGTATGCAGGCCTGCAAAAGCTAGTAGCATTAGAACAAACACTCAAAGCCTGAATGCGTGTTCAAACAAGAGAGGGAGATCTCAAGCCCACCGGCCTCTGCTCACTCTAGCCCTCCGGCCGTTCTTCACTCTAGCCCTCGGCCTCTGCTCACTCTAGGCCGCCGCGGCTCACTCTAGGCCACCGTGTGTGACGCTGTGTTTCGTT